TATATTTAATAACTTAGTAGAACATGTGTGTGTGTGTATTTAATTGGTATATGGGATGAATCATATATCATGTTATGCACTCTATATGAAGCCATGCACCAAGCCATGCACTAGCCATCCCTGCACCAAGCCATGCACCAAGCCACGCACTAAGCCATGCACCAATCACCCGTGCACCAAGCCACCCCTGCACCAAGCCACCCCTGCACCATGCCGTCAGTGGTCAGAGAAGATAATGATTGGTGGGCAGGCGGCACGGGCCACCGACACGACCACTGGGCACTGGGCACGGGCCGGGCACACACCCCAGACATGCACTGAGGTCACCCACTAGAGGCACGGAAACCTTCAACACCTGGTCCCGGATGTAGACACGTACCAGAGACACGTACTAAGGACAGGAAGCAATAAATGCCCCGTTACTGTTTACTACGGACACGTAATAAAGGACACAGGCATTAGAGACACGGGTTAGTACACGCACTAAAGACAATAGTTTAGACACGTACGAGGGACACTCAAAAGATATGGAAAAGTACAAGGACATGCACTAGGGACACGAAGGAACATGTATTTTAGAGACGGGGCTGGACACCCACTAAGACATGCACTTGGACACGCACAAAGGCCATGGAGGGTCTCAAGCAGCAAGACCCTCAGGTGAGTCGTGACGGTGAACACGCGTGGACGATTGCATTAAGGACACGCACTATGAGATACGAGTCGGTATATGTTTGAAGACACGCACTTGACACAGAGTAGGACACGTACTGGAGACACGTACTAAAGACACGTACTGCACCAGAAATAAGCACTAACACCCATTCACAAACGCCTTATCACACTTTCAGACACGCACTAAATAGAGACACGTACTATATGGACACGCACCAAACGTCTACTACAGACACGCACTAATACCTAATCACAAACGCACTTATTAAACTTTCAGACACGCACTCAACACACGTAACAGAAACATGTACTTGAAACACGTACTACACATTTACTTCAGACACGCACTCAGACACACACTAGCGACAGACACGCACTCAGACACACTAGAGACAGAAACGCACTCACACACGCACTAGAGACAGACACGCACTTGACAAACACTAGAGGCAGACACGCACTCAGACACACTAGAGACACGCACTAGGGACTGACACGCACTCAGACACACACTAGACAAACACTAGAGACAGAAACGCACTCAGACACACACTAGAGACACACACAAGAGTCAGACACACACTCAGACACGCACTCAGACACGCAGGTGTGGAATAGCCCCGGGGTAGGTCGTGACGGGGGGGAGGGGAGACTGGCGGCTGCTGGAAGCGATTTTATCAATTGCTGGAAACTGGAACTTACAAGCCGACGATTCTCCCCCTTCCTCCCTCTCTCCCCCTCCTTCCTTACCTCTCTCCCTACCTACCTACTTCCCTCCCTCCCCTCAAATCTCCTTCCCTCCCTACCTACTTCTCTCCCTCCTCCCCCCTTACCTACCTACTTCTCTCCTCGTCCTCCCTCCCCCTCTCTTTACCCCTCTCCCCCCCTCTCTCTCCCTCCCTCCTGTCTGCTGGGGGCGGTGGTGGTGGTCGTCTACTGCGCCTCCCTCGGGTTATCTGCAGCTGTTTACGTCAACTGTCTACCTGTCTACTGTCCATCTTGATCTACCATACCCGTCCCTTTAGCTGTGTTTATTGTTTGTACTTGTCTGGTTCTGCCGTGTTTGCATTCTTAAAAGTCATGTAGCGCCTCTGAGACTATTTACTGTTTCTGTCTACTTGTTTACACCTGATGTTTGTGTTTTATTGTCTACTGCTTTTGTTTGTCTACTTATGCTATCTAATTGTTCGCTTTCAGTGTCTGTTTACCTCCCTACAGGTTAAATTGTCTACATCTGTGGTTTAAGAATGTCAATTTTCTACAATCTACATTTTGTTTACTTGTTTACAATTCTCCTCGTCTCTGGTATGATTTTAGCTTTCTTTTTTTTTTCATCTTCGTTTTATTGTTTACTACTTTCATCCAACTTGTTTATTTTCTACTCTCTCTATTTCCCTTTCTTCCTCTTCTTTCTTATCTCCTACTCATTCTCCCTTTACGCAATCTTCTCTTTCCTTCTTTACTTCATATCTCTCTCTCCCTCTCTCTCTCTCTGTCTGTCTCTCTCTTTCTCTATCTCTCTCTCTCTTCTCTCCTTCCCTTCCCGACAGTGACCAGAGAACTACCCACTACCCGACAGTGACCAGGGGCTGCCCCACACTCCCGACAGTAATCAGAGGGCTACCTACCTCCCGACAGTGACCAGAGAACTACCCACCACCCGACGGTGACCAGAGGGCTACCCACACCCCCATGCAATCTAAGGCCACAAGCACCAGTAATTTATCTGAGACAACTATGATTATGTGATCTCGCTGCCTATACAGAAAGGATCGTAAGTTTTGTCGTAAGTTTTTGTCATAAGTTGAGTCCTAGTGAGCAAGTTCCGTGGTTCAGTTATTGTCCGACTTATGTGGAATTATTGTCCAACTTGTGTGGAATTATTGTCCGACTTATGTGGAATTATTGTCCGACTTATGTGGAATTATTGTCCGATTTATGTGGAATTATTGTCCGACTTATGTGGAATTATTGTCCGACTTGTGTGGAATTATTGTCCGACTTATGTGGAATTATTGTCCGACTTAAAAGAATTCAAGGAAGTTATTATTACGAGTTAAGCGGAATTCTCGTAAGGGATTCCATGAACAATTATTCTTCAAGGCTAAACCAGAGTAGTATCCGTTCATTCTCATTTTCCGTCCGCACTTGACTGATCTCGCGTTCAATCTCCGTCCGCTATAGTGGTTTATCCCTTCCGCCATTGACAGATTTTCCGCCCAAGTACCACCCGCCCATTCTACAGATCTCCTGCCTATACTCCGCCCATCCAGTTTAGTTCCCACCCATTTAAGACAGCAGCAACCCCCCCACCCCCCCCCACCCCTACGTCATCTGGAAACTCTTAACTCGGAACACGAAGACAACCAATCACAATAAGAAGCGAGCGTATGATGTAATCTGAATGGTTAATCCCTCTTTCCTTAATTGACACATGACAGGGAGGTATTTTCCACACGTTTATCTGCTTTAGTAATCCCTCCTCATCCCCCTCTTATCTACACACGAGGAAGAGATTATAGAAGGGTTTAATCTCAGCAGGTAAATCCCTTCTTTTGTTTACATACACAGGGAGGATTTCTTCTCTTGTGGGATTTTTTTTATTAATATTAATGTGAAGATGTTGCTTTTTTGCAGTGTGTGTGTGTGTGTGTGTGTGTGTGTGTGTGTGTGTGTGTGTGTGTGTGTGAGTGTGTGTGTGTGTGTGTGTGTGTGTATAAATTCCATACACAATCCACGAATGAAATAAACGAAAATCAAACCCATACACCAACCACAAATACTATCCCTTGGTATATGTAGATTCCTTGTATACATAGATGTAATGTATACATGTATATCTGACGGGCAAAGGTATACATACATTTTCGTTAACAATCTAAGCTATAGTGTGGGTCATTGTTTATATAAGCTGGGTAGACTATTGGGGGCGCTCAGTGTCTAGGTAGTGTTGGTAGGGGGAGTGTGTGGTCAGGAGGCTGCTTGTACGATCCTAACACTGCCTTGCTTTGTCTGCGTGTTTGCTTGTGTCTGCTGCTGGGATGGGAGGTGAAAGGGTGATTGATGGAAAGAAGGTGAGAAAGAGAGTGGAAGAGGGAGAGAGATAGGTGAGAATGTGCGAGAGTGAGTGAGAGAGAGAAAGAAAGTGATATGTGTGTGTGTGTGTGTGTGTGTGACAGGTAGGATCATCTCTCTTGAATCTTCTGTCTGTCTGTACCCGTATGTTGACTCGCTCTCTCACTCTCTGTCTCTCTCCCGTCTACTATCTTCCTCACCCGTCTAATGCCTCCATTACCTCCCACACTTGATCCATCACCTCCATCTACCATCCACATCCACTCTATTACCTCCAGTACTTAAATCCACTTTCCATACTTCATCCACTACCTTCACACCTCATCCATATCTCCTTCTCTATCTCCATCCACCTTCCACACCCCTTCCAGTCTCTCCAACCATCCTCCACATCCCATCCACTCCTTCCAAAACACCCCTCCATTCCCTCCAACACCACCCCCCCCTTCCCTTCCCTCCAACAACCCTCCACTCCCTCCAACACTCTCTCATGACCTCTCCACTACTATGAGACCTAACCCAAAAGCCACCTAGGCGGATCCCAAGACATCCACACGAGTTATGAGGACTTATTTACCGTCACTCCCAGTCTTAACATGTGAATTGTGTTTTGGCAGCTCAGGTTCAGCATTAGACAGTGACAAGGCAAGACCCATCTAGTCGTGAGCTGAATATATATGTGTAGTTTTATCCCTTCATCTTACATGGCAAAGTGGAGATGGACAAGGGAGGGTTGTTGCTGCTGAGAGAGAGAGAGAACTTTTCTTTTTTCACTCTCTCTGTCTCTCTCTCTCTCTCTCTCTCTTGTGTTTATGTCTTATGATATTTAAATGACTTAGTAACGTTTAGATAATATAGTGAAGGTAAGAGGGGAGAGAATTTTACCTGTATTATGGATGAACTCAATGAAGACAGTGTATAAAGATTTAGGCACTCTCTTATTGTGCCTCGGGTGAAGAACAATGAACAATGAATATAATGAAGAAATTGTCAAACGGTAAAAAAAAAATAGGAATTATTGAACACTGGATATTGAACAAAATAGAGACTGTTATACGATTAAAATATATAAATTATTGAACACTGAACAATGAACATAATAATTAAACTCTCAAGCGATAACAAAACAACAATTAAAGAATAACAAAAACAAGAACAGAAACAATATTACCCACAACAAACACCAAAAAAAAAATCAATATTCTAAAATAAAAATTAAAAATGAAAACAAAAATATTAATATTACTCACAAAATCTTTCCTTGGGAGTAGTGAAGATCAGTCACGAACCTGAGAGAGAGAGAGAAAGATACATTAGTATATAACAAAGAGAGAGAGAGTAAAAATAATAACAATAACGTATCAATCACTAAAAAAAAATACTTATATAAACATGTAACTATATGAAAAACAACAATAAAACACACACACACACACACACACACACACACACACACACACACAAATCATCATCCTCGACCCCTCAAGCGCCACCTAAGACTACCGTTAACTCCAGTAGTGCTCAAGTGATTATCCCTCACACACTACAGTTCCATCATATATCATTTACCTGTATGTAAAAGACGCATTAGGGACGTCGGTAATTACCTTGTTAAGTGTCTTGGTGGTTGTAAAGATCTGTCAGGTAGTTAGCAGCAGCAGCAACCCCCACTGTCGTTCGCACATACACACACACACACACGTCTTGGTTCATCTTGCCTTACTTCCTGGGTCTAGTCGTGCGGAAATGGATTGTGGTTGTCGTGGTAGTGGTGGTTGTCGTGGTAGTTGTTGTCGTGGTAGTGGTGGTTGTCGTGGTAGTTGTTGTCGTGGTAGTGGTGGTTGTCGTGGTAGTTGTTGTCGTGGTAGTGGTGGTTGTCGTGGTAGTTGTTGTCGTGGTAGTGGTGGTTGTCTCGTGGTAGTTGTTGTCGTGGTAGTGGTGGTTGTCGTGGTAGTTGTTGTCATTGGTAGTGGTGGTTGTCGTGGTAGTTCTTTGTCATTAGTAGTGGTGGTTTGTCGTTGTAGTTATTTGTCAAAGGCGTGGTGTGGTTGTGTCGTGTAGTAGTGATGGTGGTAAAGGATGATAGTGGTAATGGTGGTGGGGTAAGACTGGTAGTAATAGAGGTGGTGATTGTGGTGAGTAGGATGGTAGAGGTAGTGATAGTGGGGATGGTGGTCGTGGGTGGTCGTGGGGGTGGTAATAGTGGTAATGATCCAGTGTTGGAGGGGAGGAGATGAGGAGTAGTACCAACGTGGGAAATGATGAAAATAATAAGGATAATGGTGTCACTGTTGGTGGTAGGGATCATATCTCACTAATCACTAACAACTATCACCATTTAACAACTTGTAACTTTCTATTCTGACAATGAACGATCACCACAGAACGTTTTTTTCTCCCATAAACGATAATAACGACACAAAAAGGACGATACCCAACAGAATATCGTCTTCATCACAACACCGATACAATGTAAACAACACAGTATCCCTGGGTAAGTATTGACTACGCGAACGCCAATAAATCCACAGTGATCAAGAACGCATATTAAGATCCGGATTTTTAAGACAGAATTTTTTTTTTTTGAGAATTTATTTGTTTCTGGTGATTGTTTTGAATTTTGTGATTAAATTGAATAAACTTTTTTTTTATTTAAATGTGATTTTATTTATTTTTTTATGTATTCTTTCGTTATTTGTTATTTTATTATCGTTTTGTTTCTTTTGTGTAATGTCTTTCTTATTTTCTTTTGTATTATTCATTGTCTCTCTCTTCCTTTTTCTCTCTCTTACTGCTGTTTTCATTTTCGTTCTTTATCTTCTTACTTCTACTTTCTCTCTCCTCTTCTTTTGCTTGTTTTCCTCCCTCGTATCTCTCTCTACTTCTGCTCTTCTCTCTTCATCTTATTTCCCCCTTTCTCTCTCTACCCTTCTCTATCCCATCTCTCAAATCCCTCTTTTTCTCTTTCTTCCTTTCGTTTCTCTCTCCATTTCCTTCAATATTTCCCTCCACCTCTCTCTATCTCTCTCTCTCTATCTTTGCTCCTCTTCTCCTCCTTCTCCTTACCCACCAAACACAACCATTGAAAAAAACACAAAATACCCCGAAACACACACGACAGACAGACAGACAGACAGACAGAAAGACAGACAGACAGACACACAGACAGAGACAGACAGACAGACAGACAGAGAGACAGACAGACAGACACACAGACGGTCACCAGATCACCCCAGAACTCACAATACACTTAAGGGAGAGAAATATAATCTTCCTCTCCAAATAAGCTCATCTTGTACAGTCTCAGGACACATTATACGCCATCTTGGAATCCCTAATCAAGTGAGGAAGACGATGTAGTTCTTTTTTAAATATTTACTGAATTATTTTTTGGGGGGGTTTAGTTTTGGATATAAATTTCAATGTAGATATTTAAAATTCGAGTTCGGTTACAGTGATAGAAAGTTCGGTTATATTGATAGAAAGTTCGGTTACATTGATAAAAAGTTCTGTTACATTTATAAAAAAAAATCGGTTACAGATAAAAAAAAAGTCCGGTTACATTATTACGAAAATCCGGTTACATTAGTACGAAAATCCGGTTACGGTATTAGAGAGTTGAACTACGATTGTAAGTTTATATTAGTCAACAATGACCCAGGGTTGTGGTGGGGGCGTCACGTTTCATTTAGTCAGTCGGACGGAGACGCATGTTGACGATGGGTGGTGACTAAGAGATCAAAAAAATTCCTCGAGCTGTTTGCTAATACCTCTGTTGGGAGTTAATGGTAAATTCGTGTGTCTAAACGTTTGCATTTTGTGTTTATTTAGTACTTTTTTTTTACCTGGTTGGATGTAAATAAGTGAAATACATATGTATACATGTGTAGATGTATGTGTGTACGTAAATGTATATGAGTAGTACATATATTCACAGGTAAAGATTGTTATACGTATATTCTTCTATAAATATATACGTAGGTGTATAATTAGACTCATATATATTTTACATACATAAAAATATACATACGCACATATACAAACTTTTATACATACATACGTACTTTTACATACATGAACATAAAGAAATATATCAGATGAAAATAGGATGAAACTTTTTAACACAGACAGACAGACAGACAGACAGACAGCAGTGTTAGTGAATAATGAGAGCAAGTATCATCGACCTGACAGCGCCATAGTGATTTTTTTTTATTTTTTTTTATGGGGATTAGTCCACCCGGGCACAGGTCACTGACTCACATCAGGGTCTGGGGTGCGAAAATATAATAATAATAATAATAACAACAACAACAACAACAACAACAACAACAACACCAACACCAACAACAATAATAATAATAATAATAATAATAATAATAATAATAATAATAATAATAATAATAATAATAATAATAATAATAATAATAATAATAATAATAATAATAATAATAATAATAAATAAATAAATACAAAAATGAAAAAAAATAAATAAAAGTGAGAAACAATATATGTATGTTGTGTTGTCAAAGTAAGAGAAACAATTGAGACCCTGCAATTGTGTGTAAATGAGGCAGAAAGTCAGATCAACAACCTGGGACTTGGTCATAATTATCGTGATGCCATATGGCAGCAGGGTCTACCATTAGACAACACATTATGCTTCCAATATCTTCCCAGGCGGTAGTACCTCCCTGTTTGGTAGCTGCCTAATACCTACTGTAGACCATTCTCACTTCCTCAAACTATTTACAGTTGGATCGAACCAGTGACCTTCAGGGCCGGGGACGAGCGGTATATCCACTCAGCCACCGCACCACTTAAAAGTATTAACAAAAGCATCAATAGACCAAACAATATTAGACCAGGAAAAACTTAACACAGGATTACTTTTAGGTGAACACTTATCTTTTATAAGTATCGATAAGTAACTCAGTAAAAAGTGACATAATTGTTAGTTGTATTAAGCTCCTCTTATAAAAAAAATTATCCCTCACTTAGGAAAACCTTCTGTCACTTTGGTCAATAGACGCGGGTACTAACCTCACTTAACTTAACCTAAGATTCTGAAACACAGTGCTGTAGGTTAAAGAGATATTAACCTAACACTAATCTAACTTGGCCATTAACACTAAATACCATAAGAATTAGGGTCATTAGGACTGGGAACCATTAATACTAGGGCCCATTAGCACTGGGGCCCATTAGCACTGGGGCCCATTAGGACTGGGGCCCATTAGCACTGGGGCCCATTAGCACCGGGGCCCATTAGCACCGGGACCCATTAGCACTGGGGCCCATTAGCACTGGGACCCATTAGCACTGGGCCCATTAGCACCGGGGCCCATTAGCACCGGGGCCCATTAGCACCGGGTCCCATTAGCACTGGGGTCCATTAGCACCGGGGCCCATTAGCACTGGGGCCCATTAGCACTGGGGCCCATTAGCACTGGGGCCCATTAGCACTGGTGCCCATTAGCACCGGGGCCCAGTAGCACCGGGGCCCATTAGCACTGGGGCCCATTAGCACTGAGGCCCATTAGCACCGGGGCCCATTAGCACCGGGGCCCATTAGTACTTGGAAGAATGGATTAATAAGTATCAGTCACCCAAAAACACTGCACAAATAATATTCACTAAACCTTATTAATGCTTATCACCTTAAACTATTCAATTATGCAACAATACCTTATACACACCTGTGTGATATACGATAAGAAAGGTGCAAACACTCTAAATGTTTCTCAATAAACTTGAAACATTTATCATAAAGAATCATTAAACGCATTTCATACTTTGATATTTATTTTATAGAGACACTGTGTATAGCGCGCCCACCATAGGGAGAGAGCACTGTGTATAGCGGCCCACCACAGGAGAAAGAGCACTGTGTATAGCGGCCCAATTATTAGGAGAAAGCACTGTGTATAGCGGCCCACCACAGGAGAGCACTGTGTATATGGCCCACCACAGGGAGAGCACTGTGTATAGCGGCCCACCACAGGGAGAGCACTGTGTATAGCGGCCCACCACAGGGAGAGCACTGTGTATAGCGCGGCCCCCCCCCCAGGTAGAGCACTGTGTATAGCGGCTTAATCAATAAACTGTTTACAAGAAGTTAAACTCACCTCGACTTAAAAGGAAACCTGAGCATTAAATCACCAATCGATAATATTCAGATAGGTGATTTCTCTCTTGTAAATCACCAAATTACCGAACGATAATATTCAACTACGTGATTTCTCTCTTGTAAATCACTAGCACAGGAGGCTAGTGTATAAATCTCTTT